GCCCCATGACAGTCCCAAGAGGGCCCAAGAGGCCCCCAAGAAGCCCCAGATGGCCTCCACGACTGCCAAGATGGCCTCCAGAATGCCTCCAAGACGGCCAAGATGGCCTCCAAGAATGCCAAGATGGCCCCAAGATGCACCCAAGACGGCCCCAAATGGCCTCAAGATGGCCCACGACTACCCAAAAGGCCCGCAAGAGGCCTCCAGGACGGCCCGAAAGCCCTCCAAGACGTCCTCCAGGAAGGCCCGACATGGCTAAAACCATTGATTGTCCTAAGGTGTTTGAAGGATGTTGGCGTTTGCTCCTTGTCGGCTCTCCGATGGCCCAAGACGGCCCAATCGGCCCCCAACATTGACCCAAGAGCGTCCAAGGGGCCTCCGAGATGGCCCCATGACAGTCCAAGATGCCCCCGAGAGGGCCCCAAGAGGCCCCCAAGATAGTCTCCAAGACGGCCAATATGGCCTCCAAGATGCCTCCAAGACGGCCAAGATGGCCGCCAAGACGGCGAAGATGGCCCCAAGATGCACCCAAGACAGCCCAAGATGGCCTCAATATGGCCTAAGACGGCCCTATAGGCCCGCAAGAGGCCTCCAAGACGGCCCAAGAGCCCTCAAAGACGTCCTCCAGGAAAGCCCGAAAGGGCCAACATCATTGACGGTCTTGTGGTGTTGGATGGATTTTGGCATGTTTGTCTTTTCAGCTCTCCGACGGCCCAAGACGGCTCAAGAGACCCCCAACATCGTCCCAAGAGCGCACAAGGGGCCTCCAAGATGGCCTCATAACACCCCAAGAGGCCCTCAAGAGGGCCCCAACAAGACGCCGAGACGGCCCAAGAGGCTCCCCAGACGGCCAAGATGGCATCCAAGACGGCCAAGAAGGCCTCCAAGACGGCCAAGAAGGCCTCCAAGACGGCGAAGATGGCCCCACGATGCACCCAAGACGGCCCCAGATGGCCTGAAGATGGCCCACGACTGCCCGAAAGGCCCGCCAAAGGCCTCCAAGACGGCCCAAAAGCCCTCCAAGATGTCCTCCAGGAGGCATGAAAGCTCGGAAACCACCTGGTCCGATAGCTCGCCCGACTCCGTGCTCCCCGAAGGCTTTCGAAACCCTCTCGGGGAACGCGTGGCCCGATAGCTTGGCCAAGCTCAAACCCAACTGTCGGCCACGCAGGCGCTGCCAAAAAGGCGGGGAGCGGCTGTGATTCGCTGGAGGCGTCTTCGATAACGCCAACATGTCAATATGCGATGATGATTCCTATCCGCCCCCGCATGACATTCCCAGATGCGCCAAGGCAGCGCCAAGATGCACCGTCGCGACTCTGATATATATATATATATAGATATATATATATATGTATCAGTCTGGTAGAGAAGGGGGGCCGGCGACAAGGAACGAAGCCCTTACGGATACGGAACAACACAAAACGCGCGGAGCAGGCCCGTCCCGCAACCACACACACAGACACAGACACACACACACACACACACACACGCACACACAAACACAAACACACATCATATGTGTACAAGTGGCACGTGTGTGCCCAGGCTCATACAACAAGCTGAAGGGGCGTTTGAAGCAGGAATGACATGCAACAGCGAAGTCGCACTCGAGCGCAAGTGAGGTTGCCACACCTTGCGATGTGTGTACCAGGGCCCCCCAGGAAGCCTCAGGAGGCCCGACTTGGATACCAGAAGAGGCTCCAGGAGGCCCCAGGATTGTGAGTGTGTGTGTGTGTGATGTGTGCTTTGTGTGGTGCGTGCTTTTTGTGTGTTGTCGGTGTTGTGTGTGTGTATGTTATGTTTGTCTAGCGTGTGATGTGTTGGGCGTGATTTGTGTCTCTGTGTGTGCATGTAGTTCTGAAGCCCCAGGAGGCCCCAGGAGGCCCCAGGCGGCCTCAGCAGGCCCAGGAGAACTCCAGGAGGCTCCGAGGCGGGGTCTGGGGTACCAGGAGGCCCCCAGGAGGCTCCGAGGAGGGGTCTGGGGCTCGATTTTGGGAGGATGTCTCAGGCGAAACCGCCATTCTCTGAGAATCGGGGTCAAAATTATTGAAATTACCATGTGTTTTTGAAGGTTTTATGTTAAAATGTTGAAATTCCTATGTGTTTTTGGACCTCTCCTTCACGATCTGCGTGAGGGGTGCCACCGATTTTCAGAATTTTGAGGATGTCCCTAGCGAAACGGCCGGGAAAATCGAAGACGCACGCACGCACGGACGCACGGACGCATTAATCCCCTCTGAGCTCTACTCCCTCGGAGAGGTGCGTATGAGAATATATATATATATATATATATATATATATATATATATATCTGTATGTGCATACGCAAACACACGCACAGTTCACGATTGAAATTCCCACCAGGTCTCTGTATGTAGGTCGTGGGAGGAAACAGTGGTTGATGTTAGGGCTCCCCATACGAACACCGAAACAGGGCTCGCATGTCTCGGATGCTTTTTCTTTTAACAGGGAAACCTTGTCGGACTGCGCGGGGGGGCGTGTGGCTCGTCGGAGGAACACATTCTCCCGCCCCCAACCCCCTTCCCCCAGTTTGGACCTGGGCGGTCGCCGAACATCAAAGGCGGCCCTGGATGGTTCCACGACGGCCCCAGCTAGATCGAGGTGGCTTCCAACACGGCCCAAATTGTATCTCATAGCTGGCATCCAACATAAATATTCCCAGCCCTCCTGTGTTGGGTTCTCGTTTCGAATAGCGCACTGTGGTTCAGTCTTCTCCTCCTCCGCATACGTCTTACTCTCTGCTGCCTCCTATATTCTCTCTCCTGCTCTCTGCCTCTCTGGGATCCTGGGGGGCACAGCGGAGTGAAGTTATCAACACACTCAGCGGAGACCTCGCGGCTCCCCTGCGGAGGCTGCGAACTGTGCAACTGTCGCCACATTCGTGGGCTCCTGAGAGGCCCAGCGGAGTGGAGTTGTAACACACACGCAGACACACACACACACACACACACGCACACACACAGCACACACACAACACACACACAACACACACAACACACACACACACAACACACAAAACACACACAACACACAAAACACACAAAACACACAAAACACACAAAACACACAAAACACACAACACACACACACAAACACACACACGCACGCACGCACGCACGCACGCACGCACGCACACGCACACGCACACGCACACGCACACGCACACGCACACGCACACGCACACGCACCCGCACCCGCACGCGCACGCGCACGCGCACGCGCACGCACGCACACACGCACACACGCCCAAGCCCACGCCCACGCCCACGCCCACGCCCACGCCCACGCCCACGCCCACGCCCCACGCCCCACGCCCCACGCCCCACGCCCCACGCCCCACACATCACACTCCACAGACCACAGACCACACACCGCACACTACAGACCACACACCACACACCACACACCACGCACCACACACCACACACCACACACCACACACCGCACACGAGACAACAGACATCAGACACCACACACCACACACCACACACCGCACACCAGACACCAAACACCAGACACCAGACACCAGACACACGCACACGCAAACGCACACGCAAACGCACACGCACACGCACACGCAAACGCACACGCACACACACCCACACACCACACGCCCACGCCCACACGCCACACGCCACACGCCACACACCACACACCACAAACCACGCACCACGCACCAAGCACCACACACCACACACCGCACACCGCACACCGCACACCAAACACCCGCACACCGCACACCAAACACCAGACACCAGACACCAGAAACCAGACACCAGACAAACGCACACGCACACACACACGGACACTCACACGCACACACACGCACACGCACACTCACACACACACACCCACGCCCACGCCCACGCCCACACACGCACGCGCGCGCACACACACACACGCCCACGCCCACGCCCAGACACGCACGCGCACGCACGCACGCGCACGCACGCACACGCACACACAACCGAGACCTCGCGGCTCCTTGGGTGGCCCGGTGGCGCTGAAGTGCACAGCTGTCGCCACTTTCGTGGGCTCCTGGGAGGCCCACCGTAGTGGAGTTGTAAACACACCCAGTCGAGACCTCGCGGCTCCTTGGATGGCTCTGAAGTGCGCGACTGTCGCCACTTTCGTGTGCTCCTGGGAGGCTCAGCGGAGTGGAGTCGTAAACACAACTGGTCGAGGCGTCGTCGATCGGGCAACCAACAGTTCAAACGCATTCTCGACTCCTCAGTTCCCAGTGGGCCCCTGGAACCTCGACATCGCCCCAAGATGACCCACGAAGGTGCCGAATCGGCCTTGAAGGGTCCGATGGGGGAGGAGGGGCGAAGGCACCCAAGAGCACGCAACAGGAGCCCCAGGAAAGCCCTTCAGCGTGGTATTCGAGTCCCAAGGGGAGTGCAAATCTACGCTGCTCTTCTTTGACGCTGGCCTCCAGGATGGCCCCAGCAGGGCCAGAGAGCCGCAACAAGCAACTGGAGAGCCTCAGAATGGCTCCAGAAGCCTCCCGACTGGGCCCTAAGAGATGCTCCAGGAGATCCTCAAGTTGGCAAGTGTTTGAGGCTGTTTGGGCTGATGTCTGCTCTGGCTTGCACGGTGCCTCCCTCTCTTGCGCAAATCACTCGGGCGCCCTCAATTCCATTCTTAAGAGATGTCACCTGATAATCGCTTCTACACGGACTGGTGGAGATACGCGACGCGCCAGTCGTTGACATGTGAGGGATCGCATCGGGCGATTCCTGACTGCTGTATTGTTATGGAAGCCATCTGCTTGCGTAGCATAAACTGAGGGGGGGGGCTGGGCAGATCACATTCACGAGGGTGCGTGGGGGCAGGGATATAAAACTCAAACACCACATACCATTCGTGGAGATAGCAAGACTGTTCGAATTGAAATGCACGGCGTGTCCACGTGACCACCCCGTTGAAGCGAAACCAGGTGGCCAGGAGGGAGGCGGAACACAGAGCCCGCTGACCTGCACCTTGGCCGCGGAGATGAAGGCGTCCGCGTTCTTGACGCCCAGAAGCAAGGGGTACGAGCAAGCTGTGTAGCATGGACTGCCGCAACAGATGTACCGCTTGCACCCGTAGCAATTAGCGGGCGCAACGACCACTTGCGAGCCGCAATTGTCTTTGCAGTCGATACAGCAGCACTTGGGATTGTACGAGTACACGACAGGTGGGCCGCAACAGGTAAAAGGACAGCAACAGCACGGGGGAGGGGCTGGTCCTGAGCGCATCGGCGGCTTATCGTAAACGAACGTCGCTATCGAATCTGCAATGCAGATTGGTGTAGTCAAGCAACAGAAAGGGGCGATTGGGTGATTCATGACGATACGATTGTCATAGATGCGCGCAAACATCCGGCTGCGGTACTCGTCGTTGAGAAGGCACGAATAAAACACACAGGGTAACGGGGCGAAGTCGTAAAACTCCGCCTCGGCCTTGATCTCGTTGTCGCTCTGGACGGACGCGTGAGTTCCATGCACGCTCGCTGGCATGGCTGAACCAGCACTGGGAACTGGATTGGCGACAGAAAAGGAGTGTGACGCGCTAAGCGCCAGCGCAGGGCAAGATCCAACGCTCATGATCCAAGAGGCCAAGGCGACGGGAGACGAGGAGTGGGGGGGAGGGCGCTGGGGGGGGGCCAAGGTCATCCAAACGACGGAAACGAGCGGGCCTCACGCGAGATTGCATGGCGACCTCACGCGGTGTCTTACTAGAGGCATCCTAGGTGGGCTCCGAGTAGACGGGGTCGAAAGATCGCGCCGCATCGCCAACGCATCACCGATGTATCGGCGATGCATCGGCGACGTCGGCGCGGAGAAAATTGGGCTCCACATCGAGCTGCATCGGCGGTCCATCGGCGATGCGGCGCGATCCTCCGACCCCATCTGCTCGGACCACATCGAGGAAGACTAGACTTAAGCGGGCCGCCTGCGCGGTACACCACTGCGGAAACGGGGGCGCTGGCGCGCGATCTTACGCGGGCAATCGTCGCGCCAACGTCGCAACCGTGGACCTTGTCATCTGCAAGTCGGCTCTCTGCCGGAGGCGCCGGCGTCAGGGGCGGCGCCGGACACGCCGCAGAGGGAACCCAACGCGGATCCAAGAAATCCGCGCGGAGCGCTAACAATCACTGTTTTATGCAGGTGTTTTTTCTTCGAGCGGCACACAACTTTGGAAACCAGGGCGCTTACGCGCGATCTCTTGCGGGCAGCTTGCGCGCCACTGTCGGCGCCGTCGACCCCGTTCCCTGCATCGGCAACCTGCTGCCTCGGCGAATCGCGCCCGTGAAGACACGCGGCTTTTATCTTCGCGCCACGTCGCACCCCCCCTTTCCCCCCTCCCCGTGGGAGGACTGCTGCTTTTGCCTGGGCGGCGACGCGCGAATCGCACTTCGGTTCGCGAACACACGAGTTAACCAACTACCTCTGATAGTAACACCCGGGGGATGATAAAGTTCGGAGTCCTGGGAGTCCCGGCGAGTCGACGACGACGGCGACGAGGATGTGTTCCTCTTGCTCTGAGATGCATGGCCCGTGCTCTTGAGATTCTTGGCCGTGCTCTTGAAATCCTGAAGCTGGCCCGCGCTCTTGAGATCCTTGGCGCTCCTCGCCAGGAAACTGTCCATGCAAACTATATCGTCGCCATTGCCATTGCCACGCCACACGTTCTTGAGGATATTGCGACTCGGCATAAGAAGGACCAACTTCGATTCGCAAAGAGCGCCCGCGATAAGAAAGTTCGGCCTTGCCGCCCCTCTCTCCAGCCCAACTCTGCTTGGCTGGGGATAATCAGCTCTCAAGGCTTAAGGGGGGTCTGATGTACTATCCGGGGTTAGCGGGTATAGTCGAAGCGCACGCAGTGGGAGCTCGACCCGAAAACAAATCCACAAGAAACCCAACCCTTTGATTAGTGGGGGTGGGAACATCGCGCGTCCCACAGAAAAACCAGTGATATCCAAGAAAACATAATAGCAATATTATCTAAATTGACGTAGTAGTCTGAACAGATGCCGCACATTTCACCGGTGTCAGCTTCACCTCCAATGTGTCTGACTCTGCGCGTGGATGTGTTGGTCATGGCGAGGGCGCGGCGGTCGGTGGTCCAGCCGCGACCACGTCGATTATTCGTGAGGCACGCCCATGGCGGTGAGCACGCCGCTGTTCCAACTGAGCGTCACGGTCGGCCTCCATCTGGCCGTGGAAGACAGCCCGATGGAGATCTCAGGAGCCAGGGCGTGTGCGACGTTGGTGCTGCTGGTCATGATCGGAGCTTCAGCTAGGTGCTCACATCCGCGGCGTCGTCTGCCTGGCAGGGCACTTTGCGCTAGCTGACTCTGTCGCAGGCGCGCGAGTTGGCCGAGGCCGCCGACGTGAGGAATGGTGGTGCGGTGGTCAACCGGAACGGCGAGTTGGCCGTTCGACAAGACGGTGGCACCTACACTGTGCTGTTGGTCGACAAGGTTCATCTCGCGGGGGCCCTATAGAGCTGCAGTCCTCCGCGGTGCGTTGCCGGAAGGACGGGCCCCGTCGGCAGCTGCCGCCGGCTCCGCAGCGGCGGTGGCCGCGCCGGGGAATGGCGGCAGCGCTTTCTGCTGGGGCGGTCCTGAGAACGATGTTGCCGTGCTGAACATCTGCGGTGGTTGGAGGACAACTGGCGCGTCGGCGCGCGCGCTGCTCGGTGACGCGGTGGGCGAGGCCGCTGGCCGCGAGCCGTGGGCCGATCCAGGCGTTTGCCAGGGGCCGCCAGGGGCCGCCTGCACCCGCGTGGCGTTGTGGCTCGGCTGCGGCTGAGGCGGGCCCTCAGCAACCGCGCGTGCCACTCCCGAGATCCCCGCTGGAAGACTGGAGCCCAGGTGCCGTGTTACGGGCCCAGAGCCTGCGCGCGCTCGGAACTGGCAGCCGCTGTCGCTGCCATGCGGTCGCGACGCGGCGCCTTGCAGGCGCTCGGCAGGGGAATTGCGCTCGCCCCCGCAGAGGCTGCACGTCATGGCGGTTCCGTCATAGCCCCGCGGATTGCCTCTGCCTTGTACTTTTCTTTTGAAGAAAACGTGATCTACTTGGGTCTCTGAGGGCTCCATAAGGAATGCGTACTTTTGGGGGTCCTTGTCTGTTCTTTCTTTCTCGAGAGGGTGCCGGTCTTCTTCTTGATGAATCTACGAGCCTCACGCATCGAGAATTGCAGGTGTCTGTGCCGCAGTCGTGTGGCAGTCTTCAAATGCCACAACATGTGAACGTCTATCTGGGCAGGGCTGAGACCTTGGAGCTCGGGTGCTCGATGGGTGACCTCTCCGCCTGGGCCCGCCTAGTCGACCCCGCGCGCGGGCGCCCGCGCGGCGGCAGGGAACGTTGCCTGCGGCGGCGCGGCGCTCTGCGACGGGCCAGAAGCGCACGCCTGGGCACCTCCTGTTCCAGGCAGCCCAGCGGCGCTGGCAGCCCAGGGCTCGAGGCCTGAAGCGTGCCAGGGGCCCTGTGCATCGTTGCGAACGATGGCGGCGCGCGAAGGGCGCTGGCGATGCTGTTTGGCGCGTGCTCCACGATGTGACCGACGCGCATGAGCAGCATAGTCGCGATACAATTAAAACATCGGCCTCTGTGGCTGGGCATCGGTTGCCGCGTGGCTGGAGCAGCGTCCCGAATTGGCTAGCTGTGGCGCCGACAGCTCGGAGGAGCAGCCAGCTGTAGCCGCCCCACGACATCGTAACTTCGCGTTTGTGCGTAGCTCAGAGTCGCTGCGCGAGAAACCCGAGCGCAACGCGTCGGAATTTCCGTTGCGTGGCCACGAAAACATCAAGAGCTCACGGGATGTCTGAGATGCGAATCCTCGCCTAGTGGGCCGAACTGTGTGGCGAGGTTCGCGATGAAGTTGGTCACGGCGTCGTCTTGCTCGCCGTTACCCATGCCTCCATCACTCATCTCAGCGAATGTCATGGCGCGCGTGAGCTCGAAAGCGGCCCCACCGAGGTCGAGGATGATGACATCGCATCGTTGCACGCTGTCCATGTGGGTGGCTAGCACGCTCCAAGCGAGCAAGCCTTGTACCCAGTGGCAGAAGGGATACACGGACCCGCGCTCGGGTGACCATGAGGGCGGCTGGCGGGATGTGATGGCGCCGTGGCCGCCGCCGCCCTATGGGCCCGCTCCACCAAACATCATGCAGGTGAGCCAGAAGAGGGCGGCCAAAGAAAAACATTAGGATTCCGCCTCATAATGTGCAGATGAAGATCCTCTCCGAAGGTACCTCGCCAGGATGATGGCCGCGTGGGCGTTTTGGGACTCGGGCCTGTGCAGGGAAAACGAGAATGCTGCCCCATAACACCAAAATGGATATCCTCTTCGAGAAGACTTCACCACGATGATGGCTGCGTAGGCACCGCGGGGCTCTTTCCAGCGCAGAGGCGAACGCCATGTCGAAGTGGAAGTGCGAGGCAGCCGTGATAATGTCGTCAACCTTGGTCGAAGCCGGGCCCGGCGAAACTGTTACATTGACCTGCAGTGTTCCATTCGGGTGGTGCACATGTGCTCGCAAGGACAGCCAACACGATCGCAGACGTACAGGGGCCCGGCGCTAGCCCAGGATGGAGCCTCGCGGTCATGCCCGACGCGAAGCTGCGGCCAGTGCTTGTGGGGTTGCGATGGGTCGAAGAAGGTCGTGGCGTTCCTGTGGGCGAGTCGCTCGTCATCGTGGTGACTCTTGCTGGTGTTGCCCTTGCAGTCGGACCAAATGTCCGAGGCGAAGCGCCGGTTGGCTTGCAAAATAACCATAAGCACAAGCGGTACCGATGCGGAGGTGAAAATACATGCGAAGGGGCATACACACCGCACTCTTCGCACGTTCCGTGGATCGCGAGCTGGGATCGTTCCCAACTCCGCTACCATCTAGAACTGCATGGGTTGGAAACTGTACGGGAGGAAGCATGGCGGTAATCATATATACATGCGGTGCTTTCGCTCCTCGTGCAGTAGGTAGATCTGCGTCGACGCTCGGGCCAAACAGCGCCGACACCTCCTATTCGAGCGAGGAGGGAAGGAAACTGAGGATGAGGATGAGGATGATGATGAGGATGGGGAGGAGGAGGAGGAGGAGGAGGAGGAGGAGGAGGAAGAGGAGGAGGAGGAGGAAGAGGAGGAGCAGAGGATGAACCCAGGCTGGAAAACCCGCGCGCGAAGAACAGCAGGGCACCCCTCACGCGCCGAGGCTCTCTCCAGTGCTCCGGGGAAGAGCAGCAGGGCAGCCCTCCCGAACCGAGGCTCCCCGCAGTGCTCGCGCGGGCTGCGGACGGGAAGGGCGCGGCGGCAGGGCGAGGGCAAGGAGCGCGGCGGTCGCGCGGCGCTCGCGCGGCGCGGCCGTCGGCACGCCACGGGGTTCCGCGGCGGAGCCCGCGGCCGCTGCGGGAGTCGCGCCTTTTCCAGGGGCCGTCTCGGCCTCCCCGCCCCTCTCTTCCCTCCTCGCCCCATCTCCCCCCCCGTCCTCCCCTATCCCCCTCTTCCCGGCCTTCGCTTCTCTCTCTCTCTCTCTCTCTCTCTCTCTCTCTCGTTCACCACTCCTATACAAGCTGCTCCTCGTCCGCACCCCCCCCCCCCCTCCCT